TTGATTATTATTCATATTTATATAATGTTATATTATTAACATTAGTAGTACAATAATAGTGAAAAGTGTTGTTAATGGGTTATAATACTCAATTAATTATATATTAAGGAAAAGTTGAGAATACTCGAATATTTAAACTATATATATTTGACTCGTAAAAAGTATATACTCTTTTATATATATTATTATAAAATGATGATATTAATATACTTACAAATATATTTATAATTATTATTCCTAATAAAAATTACAATATATTAATAGTATTTATTTAAAGATAAATATGAGAATGACGCAATAATATTCAATCTATCAATAATTGAATGATATTAATGCAATAGTAGTAGTGTTCTGTGATGGATGGGATCTTTTTTTAATGTAATTGTGTAAATAAAAGCTTCACAATAATATGAGAGAGAGCCATCTCTCCTCATTTAGACATTGAATAACCATGTTGATTTTCATGCTCGTAATGGAGGCGTATTGGAAAAAGTGCCCCCTATGTGAGAGTTCCTCAATACTACCAATGAAGAGTTCTCACTCAAGACACATCATCACCACCCAAACACACTCTCTCTCATTCAAACGCTCCACATTTGAAATTGTGTGCTCAATGATGTGAACAAAAGGAGAGATAATATCATTAAAGGTTGATAATTTTATTAGGATAGTAAGGAAACCTAATAAGGGTTTAACATCTATTGATTGATGTTAAATAAAATATTGATAATTATAAGACAATAGAATAATTGACTTAATTTTTGACATGAATAATCTCTAATCTTGTAATATTAAATAATTATAATAAATTTTTACAAGTGTATTTAACTTTAAATATTTTCACTTCAATAGATAATTTGAGAACAGTAATTAATTGTATGTGATAATTTCTTTATTTCAACAACACTTGGCTAGTAGTGTATTCAAAATATATTAAGTTTAAATATCGGAATAATTGTTAAACTATTATGAATGATAAATAATTATCATGATCCAATAGCCAACATTAAAATGTCAGTGATAGGAAATAAAATCAGTAATATTAAATTCCATCACTGACATTTGACAATAAAAAAATGTTTAATCTTCTTCGTAGACTTTCAAATGTAAATGAAGAAGCAATAGAATCAAATAGTAATTTAAATAATCCCATATCATCATCATCATCTAATACAAATACAAATAGTACTAGTTCATTATCTAAAATATTACCACCATTAAAAGATTCAAAATTATTTTCATCTGATTTTAAACGTAATAATAATAAACAACAACAACATGAACATGAACAACAAATAACATCAGATGATTCATCAGATGAAGATGATGATATTATGAATAATTTACATTTGACACCTAAAAGTCAATCATTAACACAATCAAATCCACTTTCAACCACTTCATCTTTATTTACTTCTACTACACCTTCATCATCTGTTAATAATACATCATCATCATCTAAAAATCAATTTGGATCATGGTTATTAGCTACACCACGTAGAAGTCAATCTACCACTTCATCACCTATTATAAATAATTCAGTATCAAATCAATCATCATCATCAGTTGCATCAAATAATTATAATAATACTTCACCATTCAGAAGATTTTCAGTATTTTCAAGTAATCATCACAATAATAATAATAGTAGTGCATTTGGATTTTTAACGAGTAGGAGTAGTTTCTCCTATTCATCTCCTTCACCTTCATCAAGGAAAAAAATTCATCATCATCCTCCTCTACTACTACTAGTAATAATCATAATCATT